ACACCACTTTGGGATTTCATAATGTACTATGCACACTAATGTATACTGCACACTACTTTTTGTACATTATTGCACATAATGTTCTGGCCTAGTCCATATTACATAATGACCAAATGTTGTCCAATTGCTGACTAAAATACTAGTTTGTTTTTCCTTTTGGCCCATTGGTCCACTTCCTGCAAGCAGTGCTGAGCAGTGAATCAGTATTCCACAGGTCCATTTGGTATTAGTATTGGAGTGGCACCCGTCCTGCCATGTGGCTGTGAGTGGAGGGGTTTCATTTGCATAATGTTTACTTCCAGGCATCCTCAGGAGCACCTCTGATGCTCTGTGCTTAATAATGCATCGCAAGCGCCATCTCTTAATGGGTCACTGCTGTGTTCACCGGGCCCGATTTTTCATTCGGATTTTTTCGCTGTGCCATCTAAATGTTGGTAGATGGGAAATAACCTTCTGTGCTGGAATAACATCCGGTCCCATCACATTTCTTCTGTCACTTTTAAGCCATCCCAATCCTTATCCTTAATGTGAGCTCTTTTCCCCCAGATATTTTCACTCCTCTTGCATGTATTTGCTTTCTATTTTCACTTCTTTGTCTGTCTGTCTCTCCTTTTCTCTATAGTGGTCGTTTCAGTGTTGATTTAACTATCTAGCCCGTCTTTTATCTCCTCCCCAGTTTATAATTTATTTCGCTAATAGTGGTGCCCAACGTGAGGTGCATTCATATTCTCTCCTTCCCGACACATTGTTTTCCTCCATCTCTTGCTTTTGTACTATCATTTGTCTTTGTTGGCCAGAAGGCCAGAGAAGAAGTGCTGATTATTTGGTTCTGAATTTTATCCCAACCAGTACTGCATTAAATTAATCTTCTACTTCTACATTCCCTTCTGGTGCATTGTTTTGATAAATTATTCAGCTCAAACTGAATTGTATATTTGTATTACTCATATTAGGCTGAGAATTCATCTTCATTATGATTGAAATGTCAGCAGCATTGTTTTTTTTGTTTTTTTTTGCAATTTCAATTCAGCAAGTGTGCTTCTCCGCACTGCATTTCCAGGACTGTGTGTGCGTGCGTGCGTTATAAGCTTAATTTTATATACGATTTTTTTCTTTTTAAAGGAGATTAATGTGATCTTAGTCCATTTATTCCATATTTGTCAAATGTTCACTAACCAAGTGTACACTTTTCTGAGCTAACTAAATTCATTAGAGATTTCCCTTAATTAAAAACACATTTGTCAACCACTCAAGCACTAGAACAGCATAAGAATATAAACACACCTGCGGTTCAGTATGTAAAAAGACTGCTGGCTGCAACACATTCTCATCCCAAAAAGTCATATAACTGATGTCTTGGGACGTCTTTTGACCATACGTCAATATCCGCCTTTTTAGGGCCCCCTTAAACGTCGGTAGATGGCGATCCCGGGCTGTCATACAACTGACTCTTTACCTTTAACGGCAGTTAGGTGACGGGTTAGGTGACGGGTTAGGTTTAGGTCTGGGGTAGAGTTAGGATCCCATAACCTCATCCACCGACGTTTAATGTTTAAGACGTTAAAAAGGTGAATATTGACGTATGGTCAAAAGATTATCTCAAAACGTCATTTATATGACGTCTTGGGATGAGACTGCGCTGCTGTATGGTGTGTGTGAATGGAAAAGTTCAGTGAACTAGAAAGAGACAGAGGTAAATCATTTGGCTTCATAAATCAGAATGTAAATCCTGTAATGCTATGCCACTACAGTGCACCCTGCCAGTTATTTATATGACCGATATTATAATATTTTTTCTGAATTAAATATCCGACTTTTGTCAAATTTTACTGTTGACTGCATTTATTAATCGTAGCAATTGTGCTACCTAAGTTATTGAAATAAAAATGTTTTTTGTTTTATTCTATACCAAGTATAAATGATTCATTTAGGCTAAATCTTACAACCTGTTATGTACCCATTTTATTGTTTTATTAATGAAAATAAGATTTTCAACTGTAATATTAAGACATTTTCCATATGTTTGCAAACTTAAAGGGTTAGTTCACCCAAAAATGAAAATTATGTCATTAATGATTCCCCCCTCATGTCATTCCAAGCCCATAAGACAGTTTAAGATGTTTTAGATTTAGTCCCTCCATTGAAAATGTATGTACGGTATACTATCCTTGTCCAGAAAGGGAATAAAGACATCAAAGTTATTCATGTGACATCAGTGGGTTAGCTAGAATATTTTGAAGCATCGAAAATACATTTTGCTCCAAAAATGTACAAAAACTACGGTTCTGTTGTCAAGCCACGTTCAGTGACGCTGCTGACGTGTTATCTGGTGCGCCAGAGCTTTGTTTACAATCTGAGGCAGACGCACACTGTAAACAAAACAATCTTCGCAAACATGTCTAAGGATTTCGACACAGAGGAAGACTTGCATTTTTTTGCCCAGCCATATTTATTTGAACCCAAAAACATGGACCCACCAGATATGCGTCAGCAGCATCTTACGTCATCAGCGTCACACTGCGGACTTGTGAACCCGGATTGACAACAGAACCGGAAGACAATACAATGCTTAATAAAGTCGTAGTTTTTGTTATTTTTGGACCAAAATGTATTTTCGATGCTTCAAAACATTCTAACTAATCCACTGGTGTCACATGGACTACTTTGATGATGTCTTTATTTCCTTTCTGGACAAGGACAGTATACCGTGTATACTGTACATTTTCAATGGAGGGACAGAAAGCTCTCGGACTTAATCTAAAATATCTGTGTTCTCGAAGATGAACGGAGGTCTTACGGGCTTGGAACGACATGAGGGGGAGTCATATAAAGACATAATTTTCATTTTTGGGTGAACTAACCCTTTAACAGATGTCATTTTTAAAGGAAAAAAAGGTTTCAGATCATATATTGTACTTTGTTCATTAAAAAATAATGTGTATATGTAGAGCGTGATGCTTTACTGACTTTTAATGGTAGATATCCTAGGTGCACAATGTGATCCAATCCAAACAAGTATAATGCTCCCATCATTTGGATGATTATGTAAATCCAGAGAGCTGATGAAACAGTAACAAATCTTAAGGATTGAGTCTCTGTGCTACTAACCCAGTTACACACAATGAAAGCAGTTAACTGGTTCTCACATTTGGAGGAGAATCCACCAATGAGCAGCGAGGTTTACTTCCCAGCAGCCAATCAAGTGCGTCTTAGCTGCTCTGCACCTTAACATATCCTGCTGTGAGAGCTGGAGGGCTGTGGCACTTCCTGCTGTTTCCGAAACTCCATTTCTGCAGCCAGAACTTTACAGTTCTTTACCCTTTTCAGATCACCCTCAAATTGCCTTTACCGCAGAATATTATTGCCATAGATAAGTGATTCTGTTAGTATGGTTATGTAAAGGATATATATTTCAGTTGTTGGCTGCTCTACTCTTCAGGTTACATGGGAATTACAACCCCAAATCAGAAAAAGGTGGGACATTTTGTAAAATGCAATAAAATCAAGAGTCTGTGATTTGTTCATTCCATTTAACATTTTATTAGCTGACAAAAGTACAAAACGTTTTCCATTTTCTTATTTTGTGAATATGAACAAATTTTGATTTTGATGGCTACAACACACCCCAAAAACATTGGGACAGAGACCAAATAAAAGTGTAAAGATTATCCAAATGAGTTTATCCAACTATTTTAAACAGTCCACAACGAGCAGGTGAACTGGTAATAGTTGAGGTTTTTGGGTGTAAAAGTGCTTCTCAGTGTTTTTAAGCAAAGATGGGTCATGGCTCATCACTTTTTTGCCAAATATCTTGAGAGAATTGTCAAACAAAAAAAATCACATTTCTCAATGCAAGATTGCAAAGCATTTATGCCTTTCATCATCGTCCATACGTAATATTGTCACACGATTCAGGGAATCCAGAGATATCTCAGTCTGTGTTTCTAGACAATCAGAAGGGATGTGCCTGCCTGTTAACTGCAGTCCAGATATATCTCTTATGGAAAATGTATGACCTATCATGAAAAGGAGAATCAGGCAATGATGACCACAGACTGTTGAGCGGCTTTGATTGGGCAAATTCCATTAGCAAACCTCCAATAATTAGTATCCTCAACTCCCAAATGATTAAAAAGTGTAATTAAAAGGAAAGGTGATGTAACACAGTGGTAAACATATCTCTGTCCCAACTTTTTTGGGATGTGTTGCAGCCATCAAAATCAAAATTTGTTCATATTTACAAAATACAAAATTTTTCTTTGTACTTGTTAAAAATGATGAACAAATATTAGATTCTTGATTTTATAGCATTTTACAAAATGTCCCAACTTTTTCTGATTTGGGGTTGTATAAAATATGGTATTTAAAAACACGTTTGACAGTACTGTCAGCATTTCTGCATCTGTCTGCTCTTCTCTGTTCCTGGAATACTCTCTCAGCACTTCATAAATCATAGAGATAGCACAGCAGCAGATCAGCAGAGCAGCGTTCTGTACGGGCTCCCGAGAATGGTGTCGCCTTACAGTCTGAAACAGCTAAAATACAGAGGAAAGTGTCTTTCAAAGGACCCGTTATATAAAAGTGCCTATGTGATTTGTGAAATCTGTTATGGCTCATCGAAGAGATACTATGTCTTGTTCTTTTTTTCTTTTACATGGCAAGCAGTTCTGATTTTATTGCAGCATTTGTTCATATTGAGCTGGGCTGCGGTTATTGATCAAGCCTAGAGTGGGATGAACGGATGGTCTGGGTTCAGTTGTTGGGGTTAATGAGCAGTTAGATGAATTCTCATCCACCACAGATGATGAATAATGTGCTTAGACAGCAGCAGAGTAAGACAGTGAAGGTGAGAGTGAGATCACAGTCTGATTAAGAGAACAAGAAATTGACCTGCTGTATTCAGTGTCTAGACTACTGTATGATGCACAATGAATTCTATGCAGCTCAATTGCAGAGTACAAAAGAAAACATTTTTTTTCTCTTTTTTTGGGTGATTTCAGGGCCCAACAGTATAAATGATGAGCCACCGTTTCACCGTGTCACCACGTCGCCGCCTGGAGATGGATCCAGAGCACCCTGCCGCAGCAATCCTCAACCCCCCAACACTCCTGCACCCACACGCCGCTCAATCCTGCCCCCTTCTCGAAGCTCCCCTGTGGGTAAGTGGACCAAACCTCCGTATTTTCAGCTAGTATGCACTTTAAGAAGTATGCTCTAAACAAGATGAAATCAAACCAGAATGCGGTACAAGTCAAATGCATCACTAATACAAACAATGATTCAGTGCTACAACAAGCATGTTTAAGCAAGCATGTGCTACATGAGGTATGTATTACTTCAAGTATTTTAACTAGCATGCATCACACAAATATGCTTCAACTAGTATATACTATAAAGGTGCGTTCACACCGCACGCGAATAGCGCGTCAGGCGCGAATGATTTAAATGTTAAGTCAATGCAAAGGCACGTTACGCACGTAAAAAATTCCTGCGGCGCGAATAAGGCTTATAGAGCGCGGCGCGGTAGACGCGAATACGCCTCATTCGCACGTCAAGTTCGCGTGAATGGTGCGAATTGAGCGTCTGGCGCGTTAAGCACAAATGATTTAGTTAGTGCTATTTGTGCATTCACGCGTTTGACGCAAAATCGCACCTGTCGCCCGAGTTGAAAAATCTGAACTTTGGCGTCAATTCGTGCCGCGTTAACCAATCAGGTGCCGAGCTGCTTGCTCACGTGGTGAAGTATCTGGATGCTTCAATAAATTATTTTGTAATATGACCTGCGTGCCGTGCGTGGTTCTAATGCACAACAAAGCAAATCATTTTTCACTTAACTTTATTTCGATATATGAGACATGTTCGTTTTGGTTTTCGATTCCGTGTAAATTTTGCTTCAAACTTTTGTTTTTAACACAAGGTGGTCAAGCGTCAAACTAGACGCGAATTTGATGCGCTATTTGTGTCCGGTGTGAACGCACAGTAAGAATGAACTTCAAATAGTGCATATATTACTCTCTGTCGCTCTCTGATGCACTTAGTATGCACTACGAAAAGTATGTGCTTCAGTAAGTGTACACTTTAAAACGTATGAACTTCCTTGTATGCGCTTCAACAGGCTCTATTAGTAAAATGAAATGTATGCATTTCAATTAAAATGCACTCTAAGAAGTATGCTCTAAACAAGACTAATTCCATTGTAATGCACAACTAGAGTGATCTGCAACCAGTACTACAACAAGTATGTTTAAACAAGTACGGACCGCAAGAGGTATGCACTTCAAGTATTTGTTTCAACTAGCATGCATTAAGAAAGTATGTACTTAAGCTTATATACACTTATGCTGTAAGAATGAACTTCAAATAGTTTATATTACAAGATGCTCTCTGATTAGTATGCACTACAAAAAGTATGTGCTTCACTAAGTGTACACTATAAAACATGGACGCAGTATGCTAGTATGCACTTTAATAAAAATGTACTTTGAGTATGTAAATCAGCTAGTATAAATTTCAAGAAGTATGCACTACAAGAGGTATGCTCTAAACAAGGATAATCTTATTAGAATGCACTACAACTAGAGTGATCGGTACAATAACAAGCATGTATTTCGACAAGTACGTGCTATAAGAGGTTTAGACAACTAGAAGTATGTTTCAACAAGTATGCATTATGTACTTCAACTAGTATATGCTGTGTGAATGGACTTCAAATAGTTTACATTAGAACTACTGGCATTGTCGCTTGTTTCTTCATAATTCAGCATGAATTTACTTCAGTTGGCGTGTTGAGATATCGAGGTTGCATGCTTCCTCCAGTGCCAGAAGTGACCTGTCAAATGTCATGATGAATTCTCAGACAGAAGCTCCAGTTTGAAGACAGACCTCCTCTGATCCATGGACACAGAGCTGAGAGCGTACTTGTCAGGCATAAGTAAACAGCGCTACCTCCCTGTCCATGTCCTCTACAGAGTCATTAATCTCCTCTGTGTGTGTGAATAATGGGACAGGTCAGTTGGTGGGTGTCGCAGCCTATGTTTAGTCAAGACTGAAATGTAGACTTTTCCTTGAGAGAGAAAAAAACAGCCTTTCTTAATATTCAAGAAGTAGGCCATTCAGACTTATTCATTTTAAGCCCAGCAAGGGAAAAGTGGCTTGTTGTCATGTGCTGTGCACAATTATTGACGCACATACTTTTTATGGTGCATGCAAGTTGAAGTGCATACTTCTAGAAGTGCACACCTCCTAAAATGCATACATGTTGTAGTTCTGGTTGAGGATCACTCTAGTTGTAGTGCTTTCTAATGTGAATAGTCTGGATTAGAGCATACTTCTTGTAGTGTATAATAATTGAAGTGCATTCTAACTAAATTTCATACTAAATAAAGTGGATTCTTATTGAAGTGCATGCTAAGGCTATATGTTTTATATTGCACACTTTTTTAAGTGCATACTAATTGTAGTGCATACTGATTGAAGTGTATACTTATTGGAGTCCACCAGTCGCTGTAATGTAAAGTATGTGAAATCTAGTCTAAATACAAATCTTGTAGTGCATATGAAACATGCTTGTTCTAGTATTGTTTGAAGATCACTTTTAGTTGTAATGCTTTCTAATGGAATAAGTCTTGTTTAGAGCATACTTCTGCATACTAGTTCAATTGTATACTTTATATGCATTTTTATTAAAGCCGATACTAGCTGAACCTATACTTTTTATAGTGCACACTTAGTGAAAGTGTAAATGTAATGCAAACTATTGGAAGTACATTCTTTTAGTGTATATTAGCTGAAGTACATGTTTGTGTATGCATGCTAGTTGAAACGATTACCTCTTGTAGTGCATACTTGTTGAAAAGTATGCTTGTAGTACTGAAGATTACTCTAGTTGCATTCTGTTATAATTAACCCTGTTTAGACAAGCATACACCTTGTAGTGAAAACCCATTAAAGTGCAAAATCACGGTCACCAAAGTGCATACTAGCTGAATTTCATACACTTGCTTGCAATCACCTATTTATCTCAGCTCAGTTAGGCCGATCATAAGAAGTAATCATCCGATTAAAGCAAGTGATAAAGCATTGTGACATTACAGAATAGCTTATCCAATCAGAACCCATCTATGACCATTTAACCAATCCTTTTCCTTTTGCCTAAAGAATAATGAGGCTATTAAGATGCCTTGGTCCTCTTCTTTCCTACTCATCCTCCTCTTTTTATTATAACCTGTCCCCCTCTGTCTCAAGTGTTGTTACCAGTTCTGTCCCATTTTCAGCGTCACGTTTTCTGATCCTTAGCCACAGCTCTATGAGCATATAGCTCTGCCTGCTGCTTCCCTCTTTGTCATCCTGAAAAAATCTCCAGAACCCTGGAGGGACAAAAAGGCTGCCAGGGCAGCTGGCTCACCATGAAGTACTGATTTAGGGTTAGCATGCTGTCAAGGTAGTGAGCGATGACATCATTCATGAGACACTGCTGTTAAAAAACATTTCAGAGATCATGTGCAGCTATCATATATCTCATTCTCACATGGATCTAAGGTAACCAAGTATTTATAACACACATGCAGGCTTTAGGGTGCCATACTTGAGTTAAGCATACTCACACGCAACCACCCATGGTGCACCGGTGCCTCTGATGCCGTAGGTGCTGTCTCAGCATGGGGGGTGGGGTAGAAGTGTGGTCCTAGGGAGGAGGGAGTCTATTGGGATTCTAAAGGGATGTCTATGGCTGTCTGCTACATGTCGAAATGAGCTGGCAGTAATTAGGTGCCCTGGGACGCCTGATCCAATGTGATGTTTGTGTGTGTGCGTGGTGTCGGGTAAAAGTAAGCCAAAAGCAGCAACCCCAAAAAAATAAGCACCCCCTTCTGTTGTGAGATGGGAGATTTGAAACTAGCTCCAACCCAGCAGTGTCTTCAGTCTTTTCCTGTTATTCCACAGACAGTGCCAGTCTCTTCTGTTCCAATGATATCACCAATAATGATGATATAGTCATTTGTACATGTAAATACTATATTTATAATTGTATTGTAAAATCATTGTTGGTGTGTACATTTTCGGCCATAACACAACAAATAAGGGATCACACAGTAATGGAATTCATAAATAAATATATATATATATATATATATATATATATATATACACTCACCGGCCACTTTATTAGGTACACCTGTCCAACTGCTCGTTAACACTTAATTTCTAAGCAGCCAATCACATGGCGGCAACTCAGTGCATTTAGGCATGTAGACATGGTCAAGACAATCTCCTGCAGTTCAAACCGAGCATCAGTATGGGGAAGAAAGGTGATTTGAGTGACTTTGAACGTGGCATGATTGTTGGTGCCAGAAGGGCTGGTCTGAGTATTTCAGAAACTGCTAATCTACTGGGATTTTCACGCACAACCATCTCTAGGGTTTACAGAGAATGGTCCGAAAAAGAAAAAACATCCAGTGAGAGGCAGTTCTGTGGGCGGAAATGCCTTGTTGATGCCAGAGGTCAGAGGAGAATGGCCAGACTGGTTCGAGCTGATAGAAGGGCAACAGTGACTCAAATAACCACCCGTTACAACCAAGGTGGGCAGAAGAGCATCTCTGAACGCACAGTACGTCAAACTTTGAGGCAGATGGGCTACAGCAGCAGAAGACCACACCGGGTGCCACTCCTTTCAGCTAAGAACAGGAAACTGAGGCTACAATTTGCACAAGCTCATCGAAATTGGACAATAGAAGATTGGAAAAAACGTTGCCTGGTCTGATGAGTCTCTATTTCTGCTGCGACATTCGGATGGTAGGGTCAGAATTTGGCGTCTACAACATGAAAGCATGGATCCATCCTGCCTTGTATCAACGGTTCAGGCTGGTGGTGGTGGTGTCATGGTGTGGGGAATATTTTCTTGGCACTCTTTGGGCCCCTTGGTACCAATTGAGCATCTTTGCAACGCCACAGCCTACCTGAGTATTGTTGCTGACCATGTCCATCCCTTTATGACCACAATGTACCCAACTTCTGATGGGTACTTTCAGCAGGATAATGCGCCATGTCATAAAGCTGGAATCATCTCAGACTGGTTTCTTGAACATGACAATGAGTTCGCTGTACTCAAATGGCCTCCACAGTCACCAGATCTCAATCCAATAGAGCATCTTTGGGATGTGGTGGAACGGGAGATTCGCATCATGGATGTGCAGCCGACAAATCTGCGGCAACTGTGTGATGCCATCATGTCAATATGGACCAAACTCCCTGAGGAATGCTTCCAGCACCTTGTTGAATCTATGCCACGAAGAATTGAGGCAGTTCTGAAGGCAAAAGGGGGTCCAACCCGTTACTAGCATGGGGTACCTAATAAAGTGGCCGGTGAGTGTATATATATATATCTGCAATATATATATATATATATATATACGTATATTAAGAAGTCTTTTATGCTTTTCAAGGCTGCATTTATTTAATCAAAACTATAAACGTATAAAATATAACAATATTTATTGTTATTAATTATATATAATATATTATTCATTTATTTTTATTGTATGTTCTTTCTCGATTTATTGATGTAATTGATCCTTCCAAAATCATTCTAATATATTCTGATTTGTCACTCAAGAAACATTTCTTTTTATTATCAATGTTGAAAACATTGTGCTGCCTAAAATTTTTGTGAAAACATTTGTTTTCAGGATTCATTGATGGAAAAAAAATGAAATAGACATATTTTTCAGTTATATTTAATTATAATTAACAGGTCAAATTATAATAATAATAATTAAAGCTGCAAGCATTTAAAGCTGCAAGCTGCAAGTGCAGCATTTATCGGTGATCAAGCAGTTCAGGCCTTTAAGGCATTTAAGCACAAAAGCATCAAAAGACATTAAGTTTTATGTAGTAAGCATGATTTACCATGATGTATCACATTTCAGTGTGATATTACACGATTAATCATGTTCCAATACCATTTTACCAAGATGATTTATCATGATTTACCATGTTCCAATATGATTTTTCACAGTTTTAAATTACCATGTTATAGGATGATTTATCATGATTAACCATGTTCCAATATGATTTACCAGGTTCCAATATGCTTTACTACAGTTTACCATGTTCCAATATGATTTATTATGTTCCAATGTGATTTACTATAGTTTACCATGATTTACCACGTTCTAGAATGATTTAATATGAATGTTATTAATCCACTGTCACTTTTGGTCGATTTAATGCAACCTGGCTATTTGTTGACCATTTTATATTATTATAAACATCAGGGTTATTTTAAGAAATATTCTCAATTTTTTTCACATCAATTTAGGCTGACCACAGATCTGAGATTTGTGAGATTGATTTTTTAATATATTTATACTGTATTCTGTACTGTATGTGCACGGATGCCTGCAACCCCTCAGAATATCATATCGTTCAGCCCGTGTGGCAGCAGTGTTATTTTGTGGTTGGCTGCCTCTTATTGGAATCGATCCATGGACCACTGAGACCATATTATGACTCCACGGAAGAGGAGAGCGATACGAAAAGAGATAGAAAGGGGGTGGTGGTTACTTTTACAAATGCATTCATGGATTTGCAGCAGCATACACTGTATATGTGCCCCCCCCCAAGTGAATGTCCTTGAACTCAGGAAACCTCCTACACTGCCATTAACTCACCGTTGTCTTTCTTTATCTATAGCATCCCGTAAGGAATTCCAGAAGAGTTCTGATGGCACCCGTTCATCTCTCTCATCCCCTAAGAGACTCGCTGTAGTGTCTCCTAAACCACAGTCTCCAGGTAACCAACCAAAACGAAGATCAACCCAAGATTGCTTTCTTTTCATAGCTGTCCCCTGCTGCTCTACAGAGTACAGTGCTTCCATTAGAGGATGTCACCCTATTGGATAAATCTCATCTGACGCTCTGAAAACCTCTTTTATTTTTCTGTACACACACGCACATGAACATAGAATGAGAGAGTACTACATTTAAGATGTAATCAGTGTGGCCACTGGTGTCACTGCCCAGCAGTCATGTTGAACAAAATGAAACAATAATCGAAACAATACCCAATCTTCAGCATTTGATCCCCACAGTACTGTCTATATCCCTCCTGGGGTGCAAATTATGGGTTTGGGGGTCAGAACTCACAAAATTACAGTTTGAATCCTCCTGAAGGACATTAAAACAAATTGTTGGGGGTTCTTGAGAAACATGTTAGGAGGTTTCAGAGTGAATCTTTGCTCTTCTTGCTTTCTTTGTCTTCTAATGAGCAGGGAATCTACCTAACATCAGTTTCGCCCACCTTACTACCTGAAAAGCAGTTTTTCTCTTTGTTGTCATAGAGACCAAAGAATAAGCCGCTTTAGGAGGATGGTGTCTGTGTGTGTGTGTGAGGAATGAATTGTGTATGAGTCAGCAGAATGTTTTAAAATGTACAGCTCAACATCAGTTTGATTAAGATTAGCTCTTTGATATTGTCTAACTTTATTCACTATCATTCAAAAGTTTGTGGTTGATCAGATTTTTAAAAATATTTTTTAAAGATGTCTCTCGTGGTTACCAATGCATTTATTTGATACATATTTTTTATAATTTATGACGTAATTTATTCCAGTGATGGCAAGGCTGAATTTTCCTCATCATTACACCAGTCTTTAGTGTCACATGATCCTTCAGAAACATTTAATATTAAAACATTGTTTTTTTTCAGGATTCTTTGATGAATAGAACAGAATTACTTTGAAATAGAAATCTGTTTATAACATTATTAATGCATTTACTGTCTCTTTTGATCAATTTTATGTGCACTTGCTGAATATTTTATATTTTCAAAAATCTCCAAACCTTTGAACGCAATGTATCTCAGCATATCAATACAGTATACAATGAACATAGGACAGCCGTAGCTTGCTAATGTGTATAGAGGTTAATTCAATACCTAATAAAGGGTCAGTAAAGGGCATTGAAAAAATGTGATGCCAGTCATTAACAAACAAATTGCTTGCATACTCAACACTGAGGACAACAATGACTCCATCATAGCAATTAACAGCTCTGCACAGACAAGTCTTTTTTCTGAAGATTACGTTCTACAGTAATGATGGCCGTAAATCATCTTGTCATTCCATTTGGCTCATTGTGTTTATCAAATTCATCAAGAGATGAATGCTAACGCACAGCTGGAGTAAGAACAAAAACATTAGCCGCTATTAGCATTAGCATTAGTAGTGCTTTAGATTGCCTGCTTATCTTGAAGCACATTTTGCCTTGGTTTTATATTTTAGAAATGAAAAATATTTTACTTTTATGCTAGTTTTTGAGTTTATCTCTATATAGCATAAATATTTTATAATGTCTTTATGTAACTTCCATGAGTGTCTTAGTGTGACTAATCTATTGCAAGTAGCTATTCAATAGTAACTATAAGATATGATATGGTTTGTTTAGCCACTGTGCCATAAGCTGTGGGTCACATACCTCATTTTAACATTACAATGAAACCAGTCTAGTCTTTGAATAGTCCATTTGCTTTACTTATAGAGTATTCAACTAATCCAGTTAGGTATAGAAATTATGGTAAAGCTTCATGTAAATTGTTTCATGGTTGTTAAGCGCATAGTACTCCCTGGGGTGTGTTAGCATTATGGAGGCTGTTTTATTCACATGGGGCAGTTCTGAGATGAGTTTAATGAAATTGATTTTTTAGTGCTGTTTCTTTTGTGTTTCCCACTTTAGTGCTTCAGAGGCAACAGAAGGCAACAGTGGCAGTCCGAGGCTCAAGCATTCAGATTGTGCCTCGTATTGGCTCCCCGGGTCCAGAGAAGAAAAGAGAAGAAGAGCAGAAGAAAGAAAAAGAGCGAGATGAAGTAGAGAGACACGAGGAGTTGCAGCTCTTGCAGGGTCGCTATGAAGAACAGGCCAAGCAACTGCAGGCTCTCCACACAGAACTAAAGAAAACCAGCCTGGGTTTGGAGGTCTTTGTCATATGTACTCAGCACTTCTCCCTCAAGGTATGTTATTGCAGACATCTATACATCAAATTTTCTTTCAAATGTGATCAATCATAAGGCTTTGGGCATACTGTACTAGTTTTTTTTATTTATTTTATTATTACCACTTTACACATTTTAGAATCCTAATAAAGTCATCAAAACTATTAAAGGTACAAAATGCAAGATTGTTTCGCCACCAGGTGTCAATAACAAAAGTGTCGCTCACGCTGTTGAGTACGCATAACGGGCATAACCGACCCAGTTGTCCACGTCTGTCGCCATGGTTACTGTTGCAGTACGAGGTCAAACCTGGCGAGGAAAAAAAATCACAATTTTCTTACAATTTACAAATAGTTGGAAACATTTGGGATATTGTAAGTAATCAACTAAGCAAAATGTATAACATTGGCCTAGTGTTTTTTTTGATATTTTACTGCAAAAATCCTACATATTGTACCTTTAAATTAAACAGCAATTTTTATTATTATTATTATTATTCATTGGTAAATGTTTGGCAACAGTTCTTCTAACCCTAATTGATGGAGCGTGTAGCTTTTCATTTCTTAAAACAACCATGTAGGATATGGCCATATTTCAGGATGACAATGTCAAGATTCATCAGGCTTAAATAGTAAAATGGTTGGGAGGGAGCATGCCATGAGGAATCATTTAAACACATGAATTGGCATTTTTCACACATGAATTGGCAATAAAATGATCTTGTTTTGACAATGAAAATGCAAGAGTCGAACACTTTTGTACACACTCCATCAATTAGGGTTAAAAGAAGTGTTCCCAAAAATTGCTGTAAACATAATAATCACAATTTTATTGTATTATATTTTTAGAGAATTGGTCATCCCAAATATGCTGTTTTCTAAATGTATTGTTAAGCATATAATTACGTTCAATCAATCATGCTTCACAGTACACTAACTCTAGTGACATTCCTCATGGCACAAACCCTGTGATCAAATGATTTGCTCAAGGGCACAATGATGTTACGGTCTTCACATGTCATCACCACATGATATGCTTCTATTACCATGCCAAATCGCCTCAACCACTAGTTTACTGATGAACTGTTACATCCAGTCTATATCAACCACTGCAAACTGAACACTCAAAAACCAAAACCCAAAACTCAAATAACAGCCTTTATCTAATCTATCATAAATATAGTAGGATGAGGTAACTGTGTGCAAGAGCAGACCGTTGAGTCACTGTTTGCACACAGAAACACAACAAGCATCACTGTATCTTTAGGATGAATCATATATGTTATCAACCTTATTTGTAATCACTTTAGATAAAAGCATCTGCTAAGTTAATAAATAATGTAAATCAAAAATTATTTTTTAGAAGCACAGTGCCCCCTGCTGTTCATCATGAATGATTGCCTAAATTATACATCATGAAAAAAAAAATCATTTGTCCCATAGCCTCTAAAATACCTATGCATACAGTACTAATTCGAGACAAACTTAAACAAGTCAGTGTGGGGTTTGAAACACGATGGCTTAAAATATACACCCATTTATTCAATATGTTCCAGCCTAATGCCCACACATACATTAATATTAATTGCACTCCTGTTTGTCTGTTTAGCAGTAAAAGGGTTTACGGATAGAAGTTGTGTGTCAGTAACCTGCCAGTTCCTCCCACGCCTGGCAACTCTAACATAAAGCAATCCACATTTTATTAGTTGTTATAATGGATGTTTCATTTTTAAGTGCTTTTCATTATCAGGTTGGTATACTGCAGTAGATTTTCTGTTAAATGCACACGAGTGTTAATGCTTCTGCAGCATTGTATCAAATTATTTCTTCCTCGTCACCTTACACTTACAGACATGTCTTTTGTGTTTGATTTTGTTTAGTCATAATTCATAATTACATTTTATTTAGGCCTTAAAAGTAACACTAAATGCAGTATGCAGTAAGTAGTCAACACTAAAAAAGTACAGTATGTGAGGGTACATTGATTCACTGTTTATGGATGTGATTACTGAACTATTAATTAGTAAAACTGTTAACCATGAAGAAATTGTACATACAGTATGTAATGTTTTATTTGTTGTTTACCCTGATATTTCTGCAACCAAATGTCCCTACAAAAATGGTTAAACCTGAAATCACCCACATTATAGAAACTAGCCAAGAGGACTGAAAATGTTCTCCATGAGGAAAGAAGCTAAATAAACTTCATATAATTCAAATACATATTCATAAATAATACAATAATCCTAGAATACATTATGAAAATACACATGGTTTTCCGGTTGGGTTCGAAGATAGATATACAAACTAGTATATAAAACTAGCCTTGAGTAGCTAGTAGTGGATCAGAATAAAAGCAGATGTGTGTTATTGTTTGTTTCAGTGTGAAAGTGCTGAGGAGAAGGAGAGAGAGTTGTCACAGGAACTCAGTCGGATTCAGCATGAAGTGGGTGAGTGTCCAGATTGAAACTTCTAAGAAAAAAACAGTTTCCGGTTGCATAAACGGCTTCGACTAGTCTAACAATTTAGACAAAGCTTGTCTAATTTTCTGCTACACGCTCAATAGTATGTACTTTTTCTTCACAAAAAGAGTACATAGTTTTAGTGCATAGTTTGAGTAGACGAACTGAGTCGCGCCATTGGTCTTTTTTTCTCTACTGTGACATATATCCCAGACAGTTAAACGGCTTCACGAAAAATGTAGGGCGGGACTTGATTTTGTCTATCGGGAATTGATTGGATGGTTTGCTATTGTTGTGATGTCATTTGAGTGACAGGTTGCCACACCCTCATGCCAGTAAACACATCATCAGAGAAGAGAAAAGATGTCGCTGCAAGAGGGAAGGGAAGTTAGTGTAATTGATGTATTGTTTTTTTAATAAACACTTGATCTGGTTTCATTAAAAAAAAGCCAGATTTTGTGCAAAAAGCGGAGAAAATTGCGCTTTTGTCAAAGACTACGTGTGGATCGGATTCAGAATGATATTTAAAACACAGATGTAGTAGATCGAGTCCATCAACACACCTAATGTTTGAACAGTCATATCTCATCCCGGGTCAAGATTTAACGTTAGGCAGTTTATTAATGTTGATGATCGGGTTATTTTACAAATCGTTGCTTCTTCACCAGTGTTTTGATCAGGAGATACAGTACTCTTTCAGAAGATGTGTCATGTGTGGGGAAGCTTAAGTACTGCAATATTGCTTTAAAAAAAGCATTGTCAGTTTTAAATTAATGGCTTCTTTAACAGTGGCTACATTTTTCCAATATTTATATCCATATGCTCTGTTTTTCATACCACCCAGCCTTTAACGCAGCTCGCTGGGAGCGTCTTCAGAAGGAGAAGAGGGAGCTGGAGGAGTGTTTTGAGAAGGAGCTGAGAGAGTTACAGGTGCAGCAGGAGTCTGAACTCGTAACCTTAGAGGAGAACTTGAGATTGCGGCACGCTTCGGACAGAGACCATCTCAGAGCAGAGCACCAGTCAGAGGTGGAGGAGTTTCACACCCAGCACCAGGAACAGGTTGGATCATCAGGCTGAGGATGGATCATGGGAGATAGATTTAGGATGGTATGAATATGAAAACTCAACTGCGTTTTGTGTGTAGATCGAAGAGTTGACTGCCAACCACGAGGCCGCCCTTGAAGACCTGAAGACCATGCACAACATCACCATGTCAACACTGCAGGAGGAGCATGCCAGGACAATGAGAGGTGAGGGTGCCATTTTTAATACCACTACTAACCAGCTGATAGAAGAACGTAAATTCTGTAATCCTTCTCATTTCATTTTTCTTAGACTTAAGAAAAGCCCATGAGCAGCAAAAAGCCAATCTAGAAGAGGACTTTGAGAAGCTGCGCCTCTCGCTTCAGGTGATTGTTTAGTGACTTAAAGTTTTTTTGCTACTCATCCAAAGGGCTTCATTAGTAACAGTACCGTTTCTTTCAGGACCAGGTGGACACTCTGACTTTCCAGAACCGAACTCTGAAAGACAAAGCCAAACGCTTTGAAGAGGCCCTGAGCAAGAGCACTGATGAACAAATTGTGGTATATATAAAGGGAAATTTATAAAGGCATACTAGGATTTAGGCACACAAATGCTAAAAGTAGGGATTGTAAATGTATTTGCAGGATGCACTGGCCCCGTATCAGCACATCGAGGAAGACCTGAAGAGTCTAAAGGAGGTTCTGGAGATGAAGAACCAGCAAATTCATGACCAGGAGAAGAAGATCTGTCATTTGGAGAAAGTGGTAAGCTACAAATGAAAAGGTGTGCAGGATAAACCCACTGTCCATGAGATGTTTGTGAGATAAAGTATCTTCCTGTATTCAGTTTAAAGTTAAGAAAAGAAATCAAATTGTGGCCCAATTTACTAATTTGTTCCTTCGTTTTAGTTGAATCAAAGGAGGGAATAAATTAGGACAGCATAGCCACGATTTATTAAAACAAGGGAATAAATTAATAAGTCAAGGCAGTGTTGTAGTCGAGACCAGCTCTCTCTAGTCCGAGTCGAGACCGAGACCATAGAGGGTTGAGTCCGAGTCGAGACTGAGACCAAAGAGAGTCGAGTCCAAGTCGAGACCAAAGAGGGTTGAGTCCGAGTCGAGACTGAGACCAAAGAGGGTCGAGTCCGAGTCGACACCAAGTACCAAAGAGAGTCGAGTCCGAGTCGAGACCGAGACCAAAGAGAGTCAAGTCCGAGTTGAGACCGAGACCAAAGAGAGTCGAGTCCGAGTCGAGACCAAAGAGGGTTGAGTCCGAGTCGAGACCGAGACCAAAGAGAGTCGAGTCCGAGTCGAGACCAAGACCAGAGGGTTGAGTCCGAGTCGAGACCGAGACCAAAGAGAGTCGAGTCCGAGTCGAGACCGAGACCAGAGGGTTGAGTCCGAGTTGAGACCGAGACCAAAGAGAGTCGAGTCCGAGTCGAGACCGAGACCAAGACCAAAGAGGGTTGAGTCCGAGTCGAGACCAAAGAGGGTTGAGTCCGAGTCGAGACCGAGACCAAAGAGAGTCGAGTCCGAGTCGAGACCGAGACCAGAGGGTTGAGTCCGAGTCGAGACCGAGACCAGGGTTGAGTCCGAGTCGAGACCGAGACCAAACAGAGTCGAGTCCGAGTCGAGGCCGAGGCCAAAGAGAGTCGAGTCTGAGTCGAGACAGAGACCAAAGAGGGTTGAGTCCGAGTCGAGACCAAAGAGGGTTGAGTCCGAGTCGAGACCGAGACCAAAGAGAGTCGAGTCCGAGTCGAGACCGAGACCAGAGGGTTGAGTTCGAGTCGAGACCGAGACCAAAGAGAGTCGAGTCTGAGTCGAGACCAAAGAGGGTTGAGTCCGAGTCGAGACCGAGACCAAACAGAGTCGAGTCCGAGTCCAGGCCGAGGCCAAAGAGAGTCGAGTCTGAGTCGAGACAGAGACCAAAGAGGGTTGAGTCGAGAGTCAAGACTGAGACCAAATGTAAAACTCAAGTTCTCAAGTAAAACCCCACCTTTGATCAAGGACCACATGATATTCATTGCAGAATGTTAAATAATGATGATTTCTAATAAAATGAATTAATTTTATAGTGAATATATATATATATATATATATATATACATTCCTGACTTTTTACAACCCCCTAATAAAATCAACAAATCACACAGGGTTGTATTATTTATGATTTGGAGGTTGTATTATTTATGATTTGGAAATAGGACTGCTGTCCATTTTGAAGCCTTTTTTAACTCAATTTTCCTTTCAGCATTTATGCTTCTCATTGTTTCGTCCTCAAGTAAAACACATTTCAGTCCACTGTTGTCCCGGCAGGGGAAGTTTGTGTAAGAATTTAATGTGGAGCTCTGTGTTTGCTTGATCCTTCGAGCAGGCCCAAAAGAACCTGCACCTGGAGGAGCGGGTCCAGGTGCTTCAGCAGCAGAATGAAGACCTGATGGCCCGCATCGACCGCCACCTCTCAGTGTCAAGGTCAGGTTTTGAAATAGGATCAAATTAGTCTTGCATAGCCAATCTGGCTTTGACTAATCCTGACCGTTTCATCCTGGATATTTAGACAACTGTCTGAGGAGAACGCAAACCTTCAGGAGAATGTGGAGAAGGAGACCAGCGAGAAGAAACGCCTGAGCCGCAACAACGAAGAGCTGCTCTGGCTCCTCCAGACGAGTCCCCACCTGTCGCCTTCCTCTTCTCCCATCCACAGAGCCTTCTTCCCTGGCCCTGATATTCCCTCTTACCCTTACTCTCCTGGCCCTGGTACCCCCACACACTCCTATTCTCCTGGCCACTGTACGCCCACTCACAAGGTGGCTTCTCCGGGACCTGGGACGCCCACTCTGAGAGGCTCACCAACAGCGCGCTCGTCCCCCGCACGGATCCCGAACGCCAACACTTTACCCAGATGAGATGTCTTACTGAATTTCAGCTGCCTCGCCATATTCTGTTACTGTCCGTCGTGGACGACAGTGCTTTGTTTTTATTTGCGGGCCATGACTTCCTTTAAAAAATGTGGCAAATTTTAATAGGACCCTAACAACCCCAACTGCCAGACAGAGATCTAACAGCCTCTGTTATTTCCATTCTTTGAATTTTGAACTCAAGTAAGCTCAAAGAATTTTTAACCGGAGGATTGAACTCGTAGCATCAGAATGAAATAGCTACTGATGCTAATGCTAATGACGTGCTGCCGACAATGCTTGGCCTGCACAGAAGCAGAATGATTTTTGTGTACAGAAGTACAGAAGTAGCTCGGCTTTAGATATGAATCTAAAACATGCTTTTGGACTCCAACACAAATGTCTGTAGGTTCTCCTGAATGACATACGAGAACTTTATACAACAAAAAGCACTTTAGGTTTCTGCCCTACCTTCTTCCTACAGATAAATGCACCAGCATTTTTTGCGGTCTGGTTTATTTTTTTATAGGATATGTCTTCTAATTTTTCAAATCTCCCAGTGTTTGAGTTTCGATCCAGAATGTTTCAAATTTGTCAAGACATATACACTGCAAAATTTCATTTTCTTAATATTTTTTTTTCTTACATTGAAACTATCTAAATTACACAGGATATGACTTGTGTTGAGGCAATTTTATTTAATTATTTATGTATCCCAGTTAGCTTTTTTAAAAGCATAACCTAAATATTTATTATTCATACACTACTGTTCAAAAGTTTGGGTTCGGTAAGATTTTTTAATGTTTTAGGAAGTCTCATGCTCACCAAGGCTGTATTTATTTGATCTAAAAATACAGTATAATAGTAATACTGTATGCAAGGAAATAGTCTTTTAATTCAATAATCCACAGGAAACAGGGCAGAAACGTGGGACAACCATAGATATCCATTCCACAATAAAGACTAGATGTCTTACGGCGGAGTTTCTATCATCATCACCGGTGGCCATCTTGTCACAGGCAAGCTGAAGTGAGATGAGTGATCAGCACAAACACAAATACTCTTATCTCGTTGAAATCTTGACAGATGTACTAACGATTTGGGTTCTTACAAACGTTAATAACGTGGCTATATAGCGTGGTTATTTAAAAAGTACATGCACCATTAAAACACAATGTTACGAGTGAGCGAGCTGCCTGTGACAAGATGGCCGCCTAGTGCAGACGTCGACCTCCATTGACCAGCAGCGCGGATGAAATATCTAGCCTTTACTGTGGATATCTATGGTAACATCCACTTTACACAACCTAAACGAGGTAATCAATGAACGACAGGTGAACAGAATCATTAATTAAACACATGAAGGAACTGGGTGAAAAGACAGGACACACAGACAAACAGGATCAGAACCATAAAACACAGTGAAACTCGGGATTCTTTGATGAATAACAAAGTTTGAATACCAGCATATATATGAAATTTGTAACATTAGAAATGTTTACTGTGATTTTGATCAATTTAATACATCCTTGCCGAATACATTTTTATTTAAAAACAAAAATCTATTAAAAAAATAACAGTAGTGTATAATAATAATAAATAAAGCTTAAATGTTTTGATGTTTGTAATGAAAAACAAGAAAATTATTTTTTGCAGTGTAAAGGCCTCTTCACTTTGTCTTAAGCTGCGACGCCTCCCACTGGTGCATGGGTAGATGATTTCCAGGACCCACCAAAAGACTAATCCAGCTAACCAGCTTTTCTTCATACACAGTTCAGTTCGCCTGCTGACATGATTTTGAGACCTTCCGTGGCACAGATTCATTGCGCCAGCTCGGTTTACTAGGCAAAAAACTCTTCAGCATCAAGTCTGTTCTTCATACTGTATCTGACGAAACAAGAGCTCTCACTTCATGCATGACTATAAACAGGAAGATCAAGCAAATGTAAAGGTACCGACTACATGAAATGTTGTAAATTGTAGTAGTCATTTTTATTAGTAAATTGTATTTTAATGGGCATTTTGCTACTTGATGTGCATGTGATGTAAGTCTTCCATTCTTAAAGGGATAGTTCACCCAAAAATGAAAATTACCCCATAATTTACTCCATCTTTCAGTAGGAATATATGATTTTAAAATGGCAGTGAATGGAGGATGATGTTTTGAAGCCAGAAAAAAGTGCATCCATCCATGATAAAAGTAAATCTACACTGCTCCATGATGTTAAAGGCCTTCTGAAGTGAAGCAATGCGTCAGGTCCAGACCCTTATTCATCGTCTGGTGTTGTTTCAAACCCTTTGAAGCTGCACTGAAACTCTCATTTGGACCTTGAACCATTTGATTCCCAATGAAGTCCATTATATGGAGAAAATCCTGGAATGTTTTCATCAAAAACGTTAATTTCTTTTCGACTGAAGAAAGAAAGACGTGAACATCTTGGATGACATGGGGGTGAGTAAATTATCAGCAAAAGTTTTTTTAAAAGTGAACTACTCCTTTAAAGTTTTGTTTTGCTCTGCGCTTCAGTGTTTCTGCAATACGTCATGCGTCAGGTCAAGTGTTACTCTTTCACCGTATATCGGAAGCTAGTTATAAAGTTTTTTTTTTTTATTATACAAACGTTCATTTTTACATAAACACATCGCTTCAGAAGGATTTTATTAAGCCCCCAGAGCTGTGTGGAGCACTTTTATCATGGATGGATGCACTTTTTTGGGCCATTATGAAGCTTGGAAGAGCCAGGGCATTTTTTAATATAAGTCCAATTGTATTTGCTTGAAAGAAAAAAGGTCATATATCTAGAAAGACTCGAGGGTGATTAATGGGGTAATTTTCATTTTTGAGTGAAATAACCCTTTAATGTGAATCCTAGGATAGTTGTCATGTTAGGGTAGACACATGGACTCCTGGGGATGATAGCTTCCACCTCAGATTTTTTCTGTAATGTTTGAGGACAATATTTTACCCATAGTAATAGGACAGGAATATATTAAACCTAATGTCACACCTGTCAGAGTGTGTATAGGTGTGCAAAGGTTCACGGAGGTACAATATGGTGGTTATACGCGTATTTGGATTTAAGCTATCTTTATTGTAATGCTGGTTAACTCTTGTATTACCTCTGTAGAGTGTAGCATAACCTAGAGAGAGTTTTCTCTGTACGAGTGAACTAGAAAAGAATGTAACTGCGTCTTTAAATGTTGTATGATAAAGTTCAGGGAAATTATTTTGCTCTGTCTCTGAAAAGGCAGATTTCTGATTTTTTTTTTAAATAAAAAATACGCCATTCCTCATGCAAAGAAGGGTTTTGATATTTCAAAGAAAAAAATTTTCGGGAGGGGGGGGGGGTTAAAAAATTGGATTTGCTTTGTTTTTACAATTGATACATCTTTCAATGATCAACCTTCTACACTTTTGATACAAAGGAGAATTTTTGTAAACTCTTGACTGATAATATTTTTTCTATAGTATTATCAGATGGTGCTTGTACAGGGTATCGTACACAGAAGTACAATAATCTGATATTCAAGACCAGCAATCTACAAAAATCCACAAACACAGCAAATATGTGTTTGCAGATGCTTTTTCTTCATTTGAGACTATTGTTTACTGTTTATAATGTGTTTTTTTTAATTACTGTGAAATTTATTTTATTTGAATTCTAATGCATTTTCAAAATATGTAGCTTTGCATTATGAATTAGTTTAATTTGCTTCTGTCACTGTGATAATAACATGTTGTTGTTAACTTTCCATTTTTGCTACTCTGGCACAGATGCTAATGAGTTTTCTGGATGTTTCCGGTCAAGCACAATAACATTATATACTACCACTTTATTTATAATTAAAAAAAAAATTAAACATTTAATTAAAATGTAAAACAGCAACAGATTAGATTAGTCCTTTATGTCTAAAGTAGCAAAAATGAAAAGGGTTTTCACATTACAGCAGCCTTATAAACAGTTAATATGCTTCTAATATCTGGATTAATGCAGGAAAATAAATGCATCTTTTTTGCTTATTTTTTATATATTTCTAAAACTATTAAGTGGTTTCCCTTGTAATTAATTTGATTCTTTGCATATTTATGTTCTAAATTTATGTCTCAACAACAAACCTCAGCAACCACAGTTTATCAATCATACGGCACCTGCTATTGTTTATAACCAAGTGGAAAATTGTCACTAATCCAGTTTATTATAATAACCATGTATTTACTTACATGTAAATGGTTTCTTTCCTTTCTGCCCTCAAGACAGACTTCACTGTGGCATTAGTCCATAGATGGTGAAAAATGATATAAAACAACAGAATCAGGTTCTGAGACACACTGACTCTTTGTCCTGTGGACATCTAAACTACTGAATGTTAACTTAGCCCTGAAAATACTGACAGTCAATGTGCACTGGAGAGTGGTGGAGTCACTTATTGTACTGAATGAAATTTGTCCATCTGTCTATTTACTAACATTTGACTTCTCATGTCTTTTTTTACTGAACTTTCAGTCGCTTGTAAGCTACTATTAATTGTGTTGTAGTGCACAGTAATTAATGCATGTTTGTCTTGGCGGATCATTCCTTCCCCATGTACGTTTTCAACTTGTGATGGTTCACTCTGTAACTGTAGCATAGAACATATAATAAGGAATGGAAAGAATTTATATATAACTCATTTGCATTCACTATGGGGGCAGGGGATGAATATTAAAATGTTTCAAAAGACAATGCTCATGTGCTTTGGTTTATTTGTGGATGTTGCCTATACAATGGCCACAAAAAAAACTATTTAAACGATGAAGACACCATGCAGTGTTCACGCTTGAAATAGTTAACTGGGTCATTGTAATCTCTGGCAAAACTGAATCCTTAATCCTTTGCAAACCATTTTTTTTTTTAAACCTTAGAATTGGTTGTGCATGAAATCCCAGTAACTGAGCAGATTGTGAAATACTCAGACCGGCCCATCTTGCAACAATCATGCCATGCTCAAAATTGCTTAAAGGGTTAGTTCACCCAAAAATGAAAATTCTGTCAGTATTTACTCACCCTCATGTTGTTCCAAACCTCTGTGTTAGGAAGAACACTTTGGAAGAATGTTTTAATCAAACAGATCTCATTCCCCATTGACTGGTAGTGTTCAGCAGAACAAATAAACACATAGAGGTTTGGAACAACATGAGGGTGAGTAAATACTGACAGAATTTTCATTTCTGGGTGAACTAACCGTTTAAATCACCATTCTTTCCCATTCTGACATTAAGTTTGGAGTTCAGGAGATTGTCTTGACCAGGACCACACCTCTAAATGCACTGAAGCAACTGCCATGTGATTGGTTGATTTATAGTTGTATTAATAATAAATTGAACAGGTGTTCCTAATAATCCTTTAGCTGAGTGTATTTGTGATGCTGCCAGACGCAAATATTGCATTGCAATATATTCATATTTGCGGTGCAAGTGTTCTTGTTTGGTAACGTTACATCGGATGAATTCCACTCGCGTATAGCTAAAGCAGAACTAGCACTGCGCAGTGTTCATCCTCACATTACATATTGGCAACTATACTAGCAATTTTATCCAGAATGGCCTTTTTGGATGATAAAAGGTAAGAATGACGGTCTCTTCATTTCTTTTGTGGCGTTTTCTGTCACCTTTTGACATTTTCCCTCCAAAACTACACTCTTTCCCTGACTTGAAATGAATATCATCCCAGGTTAAAATGTGTGTTTAGAACGACGATAACCCGAGGTTAAGCAAAGTCTTAAAAGCCTTAAAACGTGTGTAAAATGTCTTTGCTTTAACTCTGAAACTGCAAACAAACTTTATTTTTATAATGTTTTAGCTCGCTAAAAACCGTAGGCTACTTGTGCGTGCCATTTTCTCGGCACTTTCTTTCTTTTTTCTATTCTTTTTTTTTTTTACTTTTTTTTTTTTTTTTTTTTTTACATCTAATGCAAAGACATCTTAACATTTATAAACGGTAGGCTACTGAAATGGCAAAATGCATCTTGAACTTAGGCCATAACATCTCTCTATTGGTTTCCACTCCTCTTTCTGCTACACAAACACTGACGGTGTTCTGAGGGTGTGTTCCTTTGAGGATTTGTAGTCTTGACAAACAGACGTAACGAGTGGTAGTGTTTGTCTTACAGGTTTCCCAAACGAATAATAAGATCAGTGCATAATGTGAAAAGATGGGATATTTCGGTTCTCAGTGCCCTGCGACTTTTCAAGTGGATTTGAAGGCAAATGCAAACATGCTTTAAATATGGAAAGATTTCTCCCATTGTAACTAACAGGTAAGAATCACCAGCTCTATTAAAAATAAAGGTTCCTAAAGGATGTTTTTGATGCCATTATGAAGTTTTGAAATATTTTTAGTTTTCTATAGATATTAAAGGTTCTTCTCCTTTGATGTCAATGACAAAGCAGGCTGTCTGTCTGTCTATCACTTAAACCAACCAAGAGACTTTTAATATTTACAATAGATAATTGAAAAAAAAAATTGTCAGTATAGTTTAGTCACTGTTTTTTGTCTTCTCAAACATCTCTTCTGTTCCTTTTGCCTGATATAGAGCAGG